CCGCTGTGTAGGATCATTCAACTGTATCTTCTAGTTCGGTTCGACATGTTTTGGAATAGAAGTTTACCTGTTTTATTTAAATCGTATGCTTTTGTTTAATGGGGAAAAAGCCCAGTGGTGTCACTTGCAATACGAGCTTTGGACACATTTCATGAAACGTCTCGCACTTGGAAATAAATCACATTCGATCTAGAGTCCAGACTCGTAAAAACATCGACAAGAAAAAATAATCTTGATTTAATCAGATTCAAGCTTAAATCAAGAACCAAGCCTCTTAATTTGAGCGAATTTCCTTCTGATTTAAGCTTAAATCTGATTGAATCAAGAGTCCTTTTTCTTGTCAATGTTCTCATGAGTCTGTATACTCTAGCTCCAATGTGTTTTTTTTTTTTTTCCAGTGCGTGAAGACAAGTCCTAAATAAATTTTACAAGAAGGAACCAAGAGCATTTCTATCTTGCCAGGATTGTGCGACTTGCATTCTTTGCAATACAAAGGAGATGTTGCATGTGTGAGAAATTTGCGATTTGACTGTTGATTCATGACTCGATTCATGATTTGACTGTTGATTAATTCTAACGTAAAAGTTCGCGAGAAACACGATGGTGCCACTGGTTTTCTCTGAAATCAACTCCCAAGCTCAAAAGAAACTCTCAAGTTGAGGCCAAAATGGAGGGGATATCCCACGCTATCCTGAGAGTCCACATCTACATCAAGACGAACTCTCCATGCAAAGATAGGGAGCAATTACATTAGCAGTGATGCCACTTTATTTGGGGACTCCAAAACTGAAAACACGGCATCACTGTTGATGTAATTGCTCCCTATATTTGCATGGAGAGTTTGTCCTGATGTAGACTTGGACTCTCAGGATAGCGTGGGGTATCCCTTCCATTTTGGCCTCAACTTGAGAGCTTTTCTTGAGCTTGGGAGTTGATTTCATAGAAAACCAGTGGCACCATCGTGTTTCTCGCAAACTTTTACGTAAGAATCAATAGTCAAATCGCAAATTCCTCACACTTGTAACGTCTCCAGTACTGAAATCATACAAAAAATTAAATTTACCAATAAGGTAATTCTTGTCTTGAATTTATAGTTAATCGAGAGAGTTAAAACTTGTGTAGATAATCAGATGTAAGGTTTTTAAAAAGTGGACTATCCTAGCGACATTAGAACCCTCTTGGTTTCCTCTTGCAAAACGTAATCCATGTGCGCTTGACAATTTTGCACTTTTTAGGCTCGTTTTCTGAAATGTTGTTTCACAGAAATCGAAAAAGACCCTCTTGGTCCCCTCTTGCAAAACGTAATCCATGTGCGCTCGAAAATTATTCACTTTTTAGGCTCGTTTTCTGAATTGTTGTTCAACAGAAATCGAAAAAGACAAACAAGTTGAAGAAAATTCAACCCGGAATGAAGTCCTCGGTTGAGCAGTGTTTTGGAGGGCCATTAAGTAAACTTAATCCGAGAACTTCACAATGGCGGAGCGGGACTCTCGCGGATGTTGTTAAATGATGCCGCAAACTCTGCCTTCTAATAAATTCCCTTTGTGATGGGCGTAAGGACGCTGGCGCGGCGTCTTCTACAATGTTAAGATTGTCTCATCCAGCGTTTGCAAGATGAAACGTCCCGCGGAAGTCTCGCGATGATTGTAACTGAGATTAAACGCCGCGCCGCGCCGCGCCGTGAAAAGATGGCTTTTGATAAACGAGCGTGGCCATTGACGGAGCGAGGCGAACCCGACGCCGCGCCGCACAGTGGAGTAAGTCAGAAAAAAAGGTCGAACATGAAATGGAAACTTAATACGCGAAAATTGTTTATCAAACAGAACGGAGATGTCAGAAGTGGCTTCATTGTTTGCCTCGTGAAATTCCAATGTATAGAATTGGCACATGCCACACCGGAGAAAGCCGGGAAATGTCGGAGAATTTTAAAAAGTTATGGGAAACCTGGAAATGTCAGGGAAAAATCTTTAAATCACCTTCATTTGATTTCTGGAATGGGTTTGACGTTTCGGACAACGAACTTCGCCTGAAAACTATTTCTAACTGCACTGGAAAAAAAAGTAGCTTGGATCAAGCATGATGATTCTTGAATTTGCCGCCAAGAATTGTTTTTATCTTGCTTTAAGCTGAATTTTTCTTGATACAAGACAAATAAGGCTTGGGTTAAGCAAAAAAGTAGCTTATATTAACCAGATAAATTCTTGATTTAAGAAGAAATACTTCTTGGCGGCAAATTTAAGATTCTTTTTTTTCCAGTGTGCGTGTTTTAAAATCTGACATTTGTTTAATTGTCAGGGAATTTTACTAGAATCTGTCAGGGAAATCAGGAAATTTAATTTTCTAAATTCTGTGGCAACGCTGCATGTAGGATCCCCCTTTTAAATGCATAATTTGACGGAACATACATGAAAATTCGAAGTTTAAGTGAAAAATGTCAATATCCGATCTATCTGAAGTCGCGTTCCACTGTGCGCCGCGCAGCGCCTTGCCGTCTTTTACCAGCCTCTTGCATGCGACACTCCGACACTCCGAGGTGCTCAGATGTTTATCAACACCGAAAAGGCGAAAGTTCATTCTTATCGTGTCTGTCACTTCCTTGGATCCGCCACTCACATCCCTGATACTTTGTACAATTCAAATTTCACCCAGTTATGCCACTCCAACTGCTGGAGTCATTCAGAGTTTGCTTGTGCTGCTCTTATAGTTAAAATCACTCGGAATGCTGTGAAACAGTTTTGAAGGCTGGAAATATCACCTCAGTTTAAGTGATTTTGACTGACATTTAGAAGGAAGGGGGTGAAGATTTACCTAGAGTTACATTTCTGTCAAGATAGTGAGATGCGTTTGATACATTTTACGTTGGGTATCAACCAAAATTTACCGTTCCTTTCGGAAAAGGCGCATTCCGAAACGAATATAAATTCCTTAAAGTTCCAAAGATGTGGATTTCAGGCCCACATGTATTTTTTTCTCTTATTTTCCCAATCCACCTCCCCCTCGTTTTTTTTGAAAGGATACGAACAAATTCAAAATAGAAAATGACTAAACTCCAAGGTTGAATATACGTTAATAACTTCATCGTCAATATCTCATGGTCTGCTAAGTAATTTAACAGGAAATGAAGCCATATCAGTCCATCAGCGTGCTGCTAAATATCAATAAAATAGTTGCGTCATTTTCGGTGTTAGTAGACTGATTCTTTGGCTACGTCATGGTTCAATTTTATAGAAACACATAATTTAAAGTTGAACTTCTTTTAATCGGCCTGCATTTTGTTTGATGATATTACCTTTCTCCCGATCACTTGTTATCAGATTTTAGGCGATAGCTATTTCAATGTTACGTACACATCATCATCAGGCCACTTTGATTTGGTAAACACTAAAAATCACATTGTATATTATTAAAATTTACTAAAATGTATTAAAAACACTATTAAAGAAACACATAACTTTGTCTCTGATTAGCGCCCTTCGCGCTGCGGTGGCAAGGCCTCAGCAGACGCATTGTCCGAGTGTTTCTTTTCATCGGAATTTCTCATGTTTAATGAGACCTTAATTGATCGATGACCTGTCAATGACTTAATCGTAATGACTTGACACAATTAACTCACATGGAATTTGTTCGCAAGGTTATGATATTTGTTTTGATTTGAACCTCTAAGTTAGATATTTTATCGAATGGTGTAGTCTTTTCATCAGTTATTGCGTTCCTTGAGATATCGAAGAGATTATCGATGGCTACACTCCAAAAAAGGTATGACTCTGAGACCCATAAAAAATGGCTCGGAGATCCATATTTTCTAACCACAGTGACTTACCGTCTACAGTATGGCTTTCTGAGCCATACTTTATTGGTCGTGAACCTACATATAAGCATGGCTCCACGAACTATATTTAATGGCTCCATGATCCATAATTCGGCCGGTAAGTCACTCTTCCCATACTTTTTTTTGAGTGTAACGAACAATACCGTTTATCTGCAAACTGACGATTTTGCAGGACAAAGAGAAACTTCGCCATGTTTGTAAGTTTGAGGCTAGATTTGCATTTTTTCTATGCATTGCAACGTCATTGAAACGCATCCATACAGAATTGGAAAAAAAAACTTAAAACATCAATTCGCGTATTTTATAATGTACAATGCGGTGAAGTTGCTAACTCTTTTTTGCCAATATTTCTGCGAGGCGGTATTGTTCACTAGCCATCAATATCTTTAGTGTGATCAAGGCTTATACTTGCTTGTGTCTACTCTCCGCTGTTAGCATTGATCTGTATAATAGTGTTTTGAGCTTTTAATGTCATATGCATGTACAATACTTCATATTTTTAAGATTTTGAGGAGCTGGAAAGTTATGGAAAATTATTGAGCACGCAAACCATTCCCAAAAAAAAGGGGGGGGGGAAATACGACTAGTACACTTCATAGTGTAGGAAGTAACCAGGAATAACATAAAAAGCAAGAAATATTTTATTTTAACTCCACTGATCGATCAGGAACCACAAACCAAAGCACAGTCTCCAGGAATGTGAATTACAGCGAATTTGCCGACTAAATTTAGCTCGATACCTCTGAAATTTACGAAAAATCGGCGCATTGTGCTTTCTTTGATGCTTAGATAGATATATAGGACCAACTAAGTGTGAAAAACCAATCGGAAAGTGAACACTCCGAGCGTCAAGACTTTTTCTGCGCAAGATTGGCTGTTTTTCCCACTGTGGACCGTCGTCTGGAAAGGCAACCCGGACGACCGCCCAAGAGACGGGCACAGGGCTGCCTTTCATCCCCGGAGAATTACCCTCTCTCATCGCCATCATATATTATTCGTCATATTTATTTTTAATTATTCATATTTATTTATCTATTCATTATCATATTTGTCATATTTACTTATTAATTCAGAGGCTAGACAAACAGGGTCACGGCCCTAGTCAAAAGGTAGAAGAAGAAGAGGAAGAAGAGCTTTTAATAACCGTATATTGTTTTCTGTTGTGTTGCAGACTACGGTGTCCGAGGTGCTCGGGGAATGAGATGGGGTGCGTGCGACGACTTGGTGACGTCACGGGATTAAAATCATCAGACTAATGGAATCGGGTGGGCTCGGGCTGGGCCCGGATTTAAATGAACTCTTGGCCGGAGTCATTAGTTTGAATTAAGGGGCATGAGATATGTGCCGCTGGAGTTGCTCCGTTGAGTGCCTTGGTCGCCGTCGCCGTCTCCGTCCCGGAAGCGGAGCCCTCGCCGCGGGCCCCGGCGCCCCCGGCCCAGCCAAGGGTTGAGCAAGGAACCAGAAACCACCAGCCATGGTCTCCTCCACGCCCTCCTACCTCTTCCTCCTCGTCATTTTTCTACTCTCCTTCTTCGTACCCGACAATGGTGAGTTTTCTCCTTCTTTTACTGCCTCTTCACAGGAAAACTCGCACGGCAACACGGTATTTTCAGGGATTCTTGGGAGACCCTCACACTGACATGCTAAGAAAGAACGTCGTATGACAAATCGAGAGTTGCCAAGTTTCCTTCGATACAATGTTCATTTTTGAGAAAAGTTAAAAGTATTCTTCCTTGAAATTTTCACGACTGTTCGGTGGAAGTGCGAGCAAAATTTTCGGAAAAATTGGAAGTAAAATATTCGTAAGTTTACTCGGAAATTTGTGTTTTATCGAAGGAAATTTAGCAACGCTTGCAGGCTCCTAATTTATTTAAAAGAAAAAATTCAACATTTTGTAACAGGCGGTATCATTTGAATAAAATGTGAAGATTAGGAAGATTATCGGTCGTATTTGAGTCGCTCAGTGTTTGTCTTTTTCATCATTTATCACTGGAATGACGTTGTTGACCTGAGAAAGGAAGGAGATCTTTTCAACTGGACAGATGATTATTGATAAGAACCTTCCATTTTAAAGGAAATAAATGAGTAATTTTTGCAACATGCGAGCAGCAGTCAACCGTCTAGACCTGACTCCGAATTCTATAAGACCTATGTCTTCTAATAAATACCGCAGCTCCAGTTGATTGTTATCATCGAAGAGATCTCCCAAAGATGGAGAAAGCCTGTTTAAGCTCGTATGACCTAGAGAACGGAACAGGTTGTCTATACAAGTCCGGAATTTTCCGAAATAGTACTGATTTTTTAAGGGCGGTCCGGAAGTACTGAAAAAGTGCTGGAGAAGGTTCCCAATTTTTTTTTTAATTTTTTGTCATTTTCGCTGCAATTTCAAATTTTTGAAATTTTTCTAATTTCGTCAAATGGAGGTGCTGAAAAAGGACGGAATTTCTCTGTTGGAGGAGGTACTGAATTTCTCGAGAGTGTACTGAAGAAGTACTGTAAAAGTACTTATTTTTGACCAGCCTGTTTTAGTAGTCTCCTTGCGGAATTTTCAGAATGTATGTAGGCCGATTCCCACAATTTTTCGGTCATCGGCGAGTAATAATCCGTATAGATGAGCTTCCTACCTTTTTGAATCATGACCCCGATCTGTAAAATTGTTATAATACGACCCTTATTGGCCTCGGAGTTCCTGTTGGGGGGTCGCAGCTGCAGGGGAGGGGGAGGGGGTGTCATTTGAGAATTGCCCCAAAAATATTTGTTCACGTAACAGACCTCTTTTAACCGCAGGAGAGGCGATGCCACAAAGTAAAATACACGCAATACCCAGGGATCAAACGGAAACGCAGATACAACAAACTGATAAATATAACGTGTTTACTGTGCGTGACAACTGGAGAAAAGCGCGGAAGCCGGCCGACCGTACTGCCGTGCTGAGGAAAAACGCCGTATGAGCCTTCAGGCGTTGCCAAATTTCCCTTGGCAAATCACTGATTTTGAGGAAAATTTTTAATATTTTCCTGCCAATTTCTCAGATATTTTTGTTTGTAATTTGATCTAAAACCTCTGAAAATTTGAAGGAAATATATTCATGATTTGCTTTAGTAATAATCATTTCATCGAAAGAAATTTGGCAACCCTCGAATATTCGTACGGCGTTCTTCCCTAGCACGGCAACGTATCCGTTAAAAGTTTCGCTGTCGGGCGGCTGACACGTATTTGGCCAGACGTGTGTGGGCACAGCCATTGATAACATGCAAAAGGAGCCAATCGAGCAATGTGTGACGCCACTTTTACATGTTTACTTCAAATGATCACCTGGGCGGTCGTGTGCCTTCTTTCATAATTGTAATGATCATCTGGGCGGTCGTGTGTCTTCTTTCATAGTTGTATAATTATTGCTCGTGTTTTGATGTACCTAAACTAAACCTAACTGTAACTAAATTTTCGCCAGAATTAATTTTAAAAATGTGCAGTAACTGTTGCGCGTTAGGGGTGAATACTTTAACTTCCGGTGAAATAATGACATTACTGCAGTTGATGTTTCTTTCTAGTCACTTGGTGTTCATTCATGCGTAATGACACGTATCATATATGCGTAATGGCACATATTTTTGTGACTTTCGAACGACTCAACGCTAGGACGCTGTGTTTAACGCGATTTTGTAGCTTCCTGGATTGTGCGAAAACGGTAAACCCGTTGTGCGGTTCGCGCGATATTTTTTGTGACTTACGGCTCAATGCTAGGGCGCTGTTTTTTACGTGATTTAGAAGCTTCTTGGGTTGTGCGAAAACGGTAATTTTGTTTTGTGCTTCGTGCGATATTTTTTGTGGCTTTCATACGACTTATAATGCTAGGACGCTGTGTTTAACACGATTTTGAAGCTTCGTAGGGGTGCGAAAACGGTAATCCCGTTGTGCGGTTCGTGCGATATATTGTGTGACATACGGTTCAATGCTAAGACGCTAGTTTTTACGCGATTTAGAAGCTTCCTGGATTGTGCAAAAACTGTGAACCCAATCTGCGGTTCGCACGATATTTTGTGTGACTCAAGTGTGTCAAGTCACTCAAAATATCGAGCGAACCTCACAGCGGGATTCCCGTTTTCGCACCCTTAGGAAGCTTCAAAATCACGTAAAAAACAGCGTCCCAGCAATCAGTCGTATAAAAGCCACATGCAAGAACTATCGCGCGAACTTCACAACCGAAGTGCCGTTTTCGCACAACCCAGGAAGCTTCAAAATCGCGTAAAAAACAGCGTCCTAGCATTGTGCCGTAAGTCACACAAAATATCGCGCGAACCGCACAACTGGTTTACCGTTTTCGCACAACCCAGGAAGCTTCAAAATCACGTTTAACACAGCGTCCTTCCGTTGAGTCGTTCGAAAGTCACAAAAATATCACACGAACCGCGCAACCGTATTGCTGTTTTCGCACCCCTAGTAGGAATCTTCGAAATCACTTAAAATACAGCGTCCTATCATTGAGCCGTAAGAAAGTCACAAACAATCTCTCGCGAACCGCACAACGGGATTACCGTTTTCGCACAACCTAGGAAGCTTCAAAATCGCGTTAAACACAGCGTCCTAGCCTTGAGTCCTTCGAAAGTCACACAAAATATCACGAGAACCGCATAACGGAAATGCCTATTTCGCACCCCTAGTAGGAATCTTCCAAATCTCGTAAAATACAGAGTCTTAGCATTGAGTCATATGAAAGTCAAAAAAAATATCGCGCGAAGCGCAAAAGCGGATTGCCGTTTTCGTACCCCTAGGAATCGTCATAATCACGTAAAAAACAGCGTCCTCTCCCATTAGAAAGCTAGGGTAAAGAATCGTTTATGTAGGTGATGTTTGCGAACATCCTGTCCATCGATCCTCCTCCATAGATATAAGTGGCAGATCAAACGATATATCTCAAAGCACGCCACGCCACCGGTCAACAAGATTTCAAAGAAAATCATTTTTCTCTTGTTCAATATGATATCTGGGTGCGGACTAACATGATTCGAAAGAAAATCAATTGTTCTTGTTCAATGTGGCAACTTGCCCCTCATTAATTCACGTATTAGTATGTATTGTATGACATATCATAAAATAAAACACCCCCAACACCCTGAAATAATTCCGATTTTTCCGCACAATTTTACAACATTGGTGACGTCACAACATAATACATTGTTGCCAGATCTCATACTATAACACATATATCTCATATCCGCCATCGCGAAAGAATTCGGAATTTTCTGCACTATCAGGCAGCTGGGTGTTGGCTACTTCCCATATTCATACTACTGAACAAGGCCTGTTGGATACCTTTAGTAGCGTTTTTTGTTATTTTTACACTTTTTAGAAACTTTGACACCCCTAGGTGCAAAATGGAGACTTACCACTATTAACATTGAAATTCAACAAGATACCACGAAAAAAGTTTCATTTCATGAGTGCTAAGATTTGAAAAATGTCTCCTTTTTGTAACAGCCTGTTCCCCCATTTTTACTTGTACTGATTTCTGTGCTTACATACAATGAATACATAAATGAAACAAAGAACAAAAAATAAACTATTAATGTAACAGATATTTCTACAACTAACTAGTTTAGGCACTACTTTGGTGGGTGGTTAGAGGGTAAGGTGATGTCAGTCGTTATGAGTCAAACTTATTCTTAATATGATTCATAACCTCGTATCAAACTTACCAACGTACTCAGTCTTCGATAAATTTTAAATGAGAAATTCACCAATAAAATACACAGATGATTATGAGTAATTAACTCAATAGCTCCCCCTTTTGGTACTGGTTCTCATGCACTTGAAGAACTGTTTTCCTTTGAGGTAATAAGGGGAGGTCTAAGAGAAATGTGCCAGTGCAAAAACCGACTAAATTCCTGATCAAGTATTTTAGCAATATAGCTTTTAGTTACTGTGGATGAATCTGATGTATTTCTTTGCGCTGCCTTCAGAGAGAAAAAAGGTACCAAATGAAGTTTAAAACTTGACAACATTTATCCGCTTCAATTTCCTCAAATCCGCCCTTCTTGTCCTCTTGCATACTCAGACTCATCCTGTGAAGAATTAAATTTCACGGTGCTTTTGACGGAAAAATGAGTGAAGTGAGAGAAGAGGGTCTCAAGGAATTAATCTCCTCAGATTATCTGTAAAAGTTACTCGTTTGATTGCAGGTTCTAAGCTGCAATAAAGATTCTCCTATGTTTTTGATTGACTTCATGGAAGAGAGTTATAATGGAGGACCCTTTTAATGACATATTATGCAGAGAAAGATAGGAAGTGTGAAAACACCTTAAAATATGAAAATGACAGAAGATAAAAAAAAAAAAAAAAAAAAAAAAAAAAAAAACAGTACTTCTGAAGGGTTTAAAAGGTGGTCAATTAGCTTTGGAAATACATGTTCTGTTTGCTGTCTCAAGTAAATTGAAATTCTTGACATACAATTCGTCTGAATCACTTTCTTGTTGTATCTTTTTACTTCAAAGTTTCCAATTTTTCCATCACTTAAACTTGATTTTAAGTACTTGAGTTTTAACTTGAG